ATGATTATGCATTCGTTCTCATTTGATCATATATTACACTACTTGATCTGTATTTAGTTAAATAAATTGCAAACGTGTCTCGAAAACATTTGTTAAAATAATTTATTTGGTTTTGGACAAAGTTGGGTTCATAATCGGTTAGATTAAAAGCAAACGCAATTTGTTCGATTAGTTTTTCAACCCCGCCAACATTTAATGTTGGGTTTAAAGCGGCGACACAAGTAGAAATATGAGGAATCTCCTTAAAATATTTTAAAAGTTTTTCATTCATTGCAAAGCCAATTTCTTGAAAAACTTCGGTTTCAAAGTCATTTAGTCGGTTAGCCAACAAAAATATTTGATTAAGAACCAATGGGCTAGTAGGGTAATAAACACCGGATAAAAAAGTCGATCGTGAAATGTTTGTAATGTTTCCATTTGCCTTAAGGCGGTATGCATCATCATCCAAGTTGAGTTCCAACGAGTTGGACAATCCAAATTAGGACCCAAAGCTTTTTTATTAACCGACTTACAAAATCGTTTATAATCATTTAGTCTTTTGTTGTTGTTACAAAGAACCGATTTTATCATTGCTTTAAATTCTAATCTAATCGGCGCAATAACCTCCAAACCGGCTTGCACAGATAAATTAATTATGTGTGCAACGCAACGGGTATGAAAAAACGCACCGTCTAAAATCAGTGAAAGTAATATTTTTAATATTGGAACCGCGTTTGTATTATTCGATGCATTATCAAAGGATATAGAAAAAAACTTTATTTTCTAATTTATAAAGACAAATTATCCTTTTTAAAAGTGTAAATAAAATAGCACCGATATGCGGCTCACCGAATAATTCAAACGCGATTGTTCTTTTCATCATTTGCCAATTATCTTGATCTAACCAATGTGTCGTAACGACTAAAAAAGAATTTTCGGTTTTATGAGGGGAACTCTAAACGTCACATGTAAGCGACACACCATAGCGGTGTTCTTGGAATCCTAAAAGCATTTTTTCCATCGCCGTACGCTATATTTTTATAGCATCTCTTCTAAGGGTAGTACGACTTACTTGAGTATAACGTGGTTGCTTTAGTTGTTGAATTATTGTCGTGAAATCTTCATCATCAAAGTAGTCGAACGACAATGCTTTTGTAATCACGAACTTTGTAAAAGCTTCTCATAATTTTTCGTTGTAGTAAAAAAAACACCACCATTAACTTGGATCTAATCTTGAGCGAAGTGCCTTGCATGATTTTGTAAAATGGTTCTTCAACGTTGTGTTTCCTTCCGGTGCATAAAACTTTAGACAAAGTTTACAACGCGTCCTCCTCGAGCCATTTGACATCTCAAATAAATTGTAGTGATCCCAAATATATCTGTTTCCAGTGTGTTCGATCACTCTCACGACTTCAAGGTTTCCCCCGACGGAAGATTCAGTCGTGTTATGGTCGGTATTTGTAGCCATGATGAACAAAAAATTACATAAATAAGATTTGAGAGATGTTTAGGTGTTGTGTAATAAGATTTGAGAAAGTTGTAATCAACCAAATATATTTCCAACCAATTTATACATGTTTATGGTGGTAAAATGGTGATTTTTTTAAGAAAAAAAAGGGTCTCACAAAAACCCCTCAACAGCTAGTTTTTAAAACCCCATACTGATTTTTTAAGATAAAAAACCAGTTTTTTATCTGATTTTTTTCAAACCGGTTTTTAATTTGGTAAAAAAATCGATCGTCCAATTTTTTCCCAAACGGTATACTATCCGGTTAAAAAAAATCGGTTTTTCCCAAATCTAATTTCAGATATTTTTTTGTACAAAATCGTATATTCGAATTTTTTGTACACCTCTACTAGCCAGGTTTCAGCTTCTTCCTTGAAAATGGTGCTTCTTTGGTTATCCATGGAATCAGTCAATTTCCATGTTTGCTTTCATACAGTTTTTATGAAGCCATGATTCCAAGTGCTCGATTGTCGACTTTAGTTCGCCGATGTACGCGACGGCATCGGCCAAGAGTGATGCTTTGTCTATGCGTGAGACGTTCGGTACTACAGTTCGAAGCGCGTAGAATCTATGATCCAGCTTCTCAAGGTGTTGCCTCTCGGCTTCCACGTGGTTCAATGGGGTCTCTCGTCCGGCATCCCCTTTTTTTCCACGTTTCTTTGGGTTTTTCTTCGTGGCACGTTGTGGGGAGTAGGAATCTGAATGTTCCGAGTACACATAAGAAATTTGCCTAGGTTTTGTTGTGGAATCTTCCTTTTTTTATAGCATATTCTTCTTGAATAACGTCCGTTCTGACAATGTCAGCAAACGAGATCGAACTCGGTGTTAAATTTGGATTTTGATCGGACCCAAATAGGGACTTCACTTGTTGGACTAATCCCCAATTTTCCTTGATGATTTCCGAGGATCCAAGCTCAAAAACTCCAGAAGAAGTCGGTATACAAACAAGTGTTTTGATGCCATGCAACCGTGCTTCTCTAGCTCTTTCACAATCATTGAACTGCAGCTGAAGAGCACCAGTTAACTAAACCAAAGAGCCAGTGCTAAGAGCCTTGCCGAGAACCCCATCACTGGCCGAGAAAGATCGAGTCAGCTACATCACATTGTGTCACTCAGCATCGGTGATATCAGTGCCGTCTATCAACGACACGTCGATGTCATGGTTGTCTCCGATGAGGGATTGAAAGTTGGAAATGTTGTTGAGTTGATGGTTTCGAAGATGTGTCTTTGGTTCTTTGAAAATGTCCATCTTCCCTAGCTAGGAACAAACGACCCTGGTCGTCGTTTGATGTCTGCCAAAATATAGCATATGCCCACCAATCTTGCTGGTTTTGGACTACGAGTTGAAGCTTCTGCTGTAGGGTTGAAGATGGAGTTTCCAGGGAAAATGAAACTAGGGATGATGACGAGATTAGTAGCTCTTCCATGGCTGTCGGGAAAAAAAAACGTATGGACTGGAATTGTAAGAGATGCAAGAAAAAAGAGAGAAACGAGGATAAAGTGAACCCTACGTACGTGGAAATCTACATATTTAGCTCTTAATATCTATATATTTTATTAAATTAATTTTAATTTTAAATAAATTAATGAATTTAACCCTCTATATTTATAAAATTTATCAATTTGACCCATCTTTATCGAAGCCCTCACCAACTCCCTTTAACCACCGCCAAGCTCTACACGGCCCTCCCTTGCCACCACGCCGCTCTATCTTCACTCCCCAAAGGAATCGCAGCCCCAACACAACCAACGTCATGTGGCATCTGTCGATTTATGGATCATAGATATGTGTGTAAGAAGTATGATTTGTATGGGCAAGTAGCATAGCCTAAGCACCATAGCTTCAACATAAGTTGTTTCGTAAACAGGTAGTAGCATATGGCTTGCCTATTGTTGCAGGTTCTTGACAACGGTGTACTGGATGATCCCCATGATCAGCAGTCTATTGCTGACGCTCTTCTAAAACTTGTGGCTCAGATGCATTCAGAAAGAAGGGATTGAAAAATATTCATCAATTTTCTTGGCCAGAGCACCGCAAAACGTATTCGGATAGCCATGTGCAAGCCAAAGCAACCTCGCCGCAGAGAAGTGTTGTTGGATCCTAAAATCCAGAACCAAATTCACCTGGTGATTCTTTGAGAGACATTCAAGATTTATCTTTGAACTTGAAGTTATCATTGGACTGTGAAAAGAGTAACTCGGTAGTTCCTTGGATTCCATTGTAGAAAAAGCAACTTGGAGAATGTCATTTCAAAGTTATCGAAGGGTACTATAGGAGGTTCCCAAAAGGCAACTTTAATGGAGAAAACAGACCAAATTGTAGGTGGCAGTAGGTTTCTGGCAATGAGGATGAGGAAATACATTTTTTGTGTTCGGGTTGTGATCGACTCTGTGAGAGTGAAGACGGCAAGATATGGTGGCAATGTTGGCTGTGTAAAGCTTGGCGGTGGTTAATGCCAGTTGGTGAGGGCTTCAGTGAAAATGGAGCTGAATTACTAGGTTTTGTTAAATTTCTCCATTTATTTAGAATTAAGGTCAATTCAATAAAATGTATTAATATTGAGCATTTTTTTTTTCATAATTATTAATATTGAGCATTAAATATATTATTGTATCCATTAAAAATAATATGTTATTATTTATTTATTATTTAATAATGAATGATCGAAATTGAAACTTTTAAAAATACGTGATCAAAATCAAATTAACTTTAAAATAAGACGACTCTTTAATAAAAGGTAAGTATACCAAAGGTTAATGATTTATTTTTAACGATTTTTTTATCATTAAAATTTTAAAAATTATAAAATAATGTTTAAATAAATTAAATCATTATAAAATTATTATGATGTTAAAATTAGTATAAAAAATAATATTAATTTGATAAAATTTAAAAACCATTACTTAAACACAATTTGATAACTTGTAATATAATTTACTCTTAATAAAATGATAAATCAAAATAGGGATTGGAGAGTGAGAGGGACAAAAGCGGTCCAATATTTAATGAAGGGTATGAAGTGGTCACAATTGTATTGGGCACAGCATCACGTGAAGCCCAGTGACACTGAAGGAGTGTGGGGTCGGTCCTCTTATGATCCAATATTTCTTGAGGTCAGTGACAGGTGTGCTTGAATGAGACAAGAAGCAAATGGTTACTTAGGAATATAGCACATAATCAGAGGGTGTATTTGGATCAATTTTTTCTCCCGATGCAGCCGGCGTCCCTGCAAATGATCTCACATCCAAGGTTCTCCCGGCCATAAAGAATTCGTCGGCGTTATGCTTTGGTCCAAGTACTACGATGATCAAAGTGAATACAGTTCTTCCATCAAGAGCCATGTTTGAGATCTCTATATACACAATTCTTATATATATATATATATATCATTATTGCACATCATAAGCTACTACAAGGTGACTTAAGAAAAGTGTCTATTAATATATAGCTTCAGTTAGTACCTCCAAGAAGATATTAATTGGGATCAACCACTATTATTATGCATATTACATAAACAACATCCACCTCAATGATCAACAACCAACGTATAGACATTTCACCTTTCACCTCCTCTAGTATTTACAATCCCTAGATTCCGTGTCTTCTTCATCTGCTTACTCAATTGGAATATCGGGTGCCTGCATAGCCGCCTTACTCCATTTCTTAGACTTAGCCGGTCCCCATTGTCATAACCGCCTCTACATTCACTTTCAACACTCGCCGCTTTGCATTCATTTCGGATGATGTTATCTGAACTGGACTCAAATTCATCTTCTCCCTCACCATTCCGAAAGCTCAATGGTTTCTCTTCCACGCCGTGTTCAAGTCTACCAAGCATGGCAACCCTCATGATTTTAGTAGTGGCGGGTTCTTTAGATGCACATGAATCAAGAGCTTGCCCATGGTAGACACCTCTGTTTATGGTTGCAGAATGGACGTCGGCCTTGGCAGCCGACTCCTCCCTTTCACGAATCGACTTTAGGATCAGTGTTTTGAGGAAGTTCATCACTTTCGCCACGTGAATCAATGCCGTCAAAGGATCAGCCACCTGCGATAGCCAGAGATATGCCTCGTATCAATATTTTTGTACTAAAACCAGCGTTTAAAAAGACCCCTAGGCAGGGTGCAACTAGCAAGACCCTAGCATTTATCAAACAGAAGAGACTAAGAAATGCAACAAAGAAAAGCTATAACCTGACTCATATTTGGTGCGAAAATCATTGCGATGTTGCGTGCATTCATCTTGTTGTATTGTTCATGTTGCACGACATCTGCCATCAACTCGATAGCCCAGTCAAATAGAGCAGCTTCTGTTGAAGGAAGCAACTTAACAAGTTGGACACAGTCGTCTTCGGTGTTGCAGAGCATCACCTGCTCCGGGGTAAGGGAATCTAGTACTCCACTAGGAAGTTCTCTAAGCCATGCCTGCAAAGCATTTCAAGTGCAGACACCGAGAATCACAGACAGGCACCGATTTAACTTTCTACAAGGTCCAGAACCAGACTTACTTTTTATATAAGTTATAGTACTTATACCTTTATCAAACCTGCCAAACAATGCACATCAATTCCGCGCGGTAAGACGCCATTGTTTAACTCGTTCCGGACATACTCTTCTTGACCATTCTCTGCATTAATCCGAAATATTCCTTCCGCCTTCAAATAAACACAATCATGCTTGTTCAAAAGGTTAGCAATAGCAAATTAGAACACTCATTCAGTCATTGATCCAGCACAGGCTAAGGCTTACCTTAAGGCCTCCTTCGGCATACAAACGACCCTGCATCATAAGAAGAATCGTGGGCACATTATTCCCTCTGCCATCATTAGAGCATTGCATCGACTTGGCCGAGACTCCGAAGACGCTTGCACTGGACAATGGAAGATGCATCTTGTATGTTGAAGAAAAAACAAAATCTAAAATTTAAGAATAAAAATCCCAGAAATTGATGAAAGTTGAAGAAGACCTGGGAACCCTTGTGGGAACTTCAGGCTGAAGATCAGTCGGCAAGCGGAGGAAGCCATTAAAGCGGTCAAAAGTCACGTGAGAGACGTGCCTGACTTCAGTTGGCCAGCTAATATCCATGGAAGAGATGTCGTCGGTGTCCACTCTGCAAGTGACCAATGACTTCCTCAACAACTCTGCCAAAATATCCATAAGCGGGAACTGATTATTGCCTTTACAGGTTGAATTACTTTTTCGTCCCTGACTACCACCGAATCTCAACTTCGGACTTATCAACGGCGTCGTAGCGATGGGGTTTCCGTCACAGCCATTTTCTTGGGCAAAAATTTCCTCCTCGTGGTCACTGGATTCATGGTCGTTTGTTCTGATTTGGTAGAAGAATGGACTCGGAGTCGGAGGAGAATGGTTTAACTCAGTGAATCCGAGTACTCCACAGGATTTGGATCGAACTAACCCAGGCATCGTTCCGTGTCTCACTCTCCCTTTCTTTCCTTTTCTTTATTAATTTACTTATAAAGCAAAGGGTAAAAATAAGAGATCTCCAAAAGAAGAAACATGTAAATATAATTGTAACTATTGTAAAGAAAGACGATGACATATATAGTTAGATTTACATAAGAATAGTCTTAGACAAGGGTAAAAATAAGAGAGATGAGATATCAATTTTCTCGAAGACATCCTTATTTATTATAAATCAAAATTGAATTGATAAAATTCATTCAAGAACTAGGTTTTATGAAGGCAAAGAGCCACCGAGGTTATTAAATACACAATGAATATATGCAGCTGAAAACAAGAGGAGCCTCGTGAACAGTGAACACCAACCATCCTTCAAAAGCATGCAAGATGCAGCTACTCCCACCGCCTAATGTTGATCCGACAGTTTCTGGTCCCAAACCCTAACCGGAAAACTCTCCCTTCACACTATTGCATTGCAATTTTGCAGTTACATACACAAGTAGTTCAGTTGAGAACAACAGTATCGTCAAACAGAGTGTATCTTGGTATTTGGAATTGTAGGTCAACTCCCTCATATATGATATAAGAATATATTATCTCCATGGATCTATGTCAAATGTTAAACAATAGCTTTTTACGGTTCCAGGATGTGTTTTCGATTGAGTTGAATAAAAGAATTAGAGTTAATTGAATTAATGAGTCATATTTTATAAATTAAATTTTATTTGAAATCTTTTCAAATTCGATCTAATTTATTAAATTTGAGTTGAATTATTCGAGTTTCTTTTTAAATTTAATTGTAATTTTTTTATAATTCTATAGACTTATGGCACATTTCAATTTATATGACTTATTTAATCATATAATATATAAATATATCATTTCATATTCTTTTCACAATAAGTAAGATTTATTATATTATTTAATAAATTAAATAGCATATAAAATAATAAAAATACATTTATAATACTATTTTTAAACAATATATTTTTTAAGACAAATTATTGATGGAGTTAAAGGAATCGATAAGGATAAAAAATTGACAAAAAGCCAAATAAAGGATAAAATCAAATAAAATAAGATTAAATTATAAAAAGTATTATTAATAAGAGGAATTTGAGTTACAAAAAATATTTTATAATGTTAGTGGAACATTTAGTTTAAATTCTACCAAAATGCACTTAAAACGAATGAGTAATTGAATAAATAAATAAATCATATAAAGTTGACGAACTAAATTGAAAAATAATAAATTAATTTTAAAAATAATTGAATAATAAATTAATTTAAAAAATAATTGAAGCTACATATGTATTCTATAATGGTTAAGGAATGTGTAGTTCAATTCGATAAAAATAAATAAAATGAAGGGAGAAATAAAGAATAAAAAATCAAAAGACTATATTAAGTTATTAAAATTTAGTTTTTTAAATTTTATTAAATTAATAAATCTAAATTCATATCAAACTCAAAAATTAAAATTAAAATTTAAAATGACTCGAATAATTTCAAATTAAATTCAGATATATATATAGTTCAAATAAAAGGGTTCTAATTCCATTTTTTTTACACCCGGTTGGAATTTATCAACTCATCATCTGTACTTATTAGGCTCAAAGAATAAAAAGAAAAATGAAAAGTTTAATCCTTAAGTTTAATAAATTAGACTTTTGAAGAGTTCACACCTCATTGTCTTTGTCGTTTTCATTATACTCTTTGCAAGTTGTAAGAAATAATTAAGGGGATGTTTGTTTGTCTCTTAATGAAACTATTCAGCGAGTTTGTTTCGCACATCTGAATGATTCAGTGCTGACTGATTCAACAAAACAGTGTTGAATGATTCAGCACAGAAGTACATTCTAAATGATTCAGAGCCATTATCAAACAACATGTCACATTCAGAGCTAATTCATACAAAGCCTCTGAATCATTCTACGCTTAATCATTATGAAGTAAACAAACAACCCCTAAGACTTAGTTGGATATGTGGCATTTGGTCAGCTATATACCTAGAATAATATATATCTAGGTGTTGTTTTTTAATTAAAATTAATAATGAAGGATAATTCACTTATTTTTATCAAATTCTAGTTTTCTTCTTCTTTTTTCTTGTTTCATCGTTAGTCTTTTTTTTGTGACCATCGTTGACACCTGTCTTAGTGTTGGTCGTCTATTGTTGATATTCATTTTTTTCTTTATTTTATTATATCGTATTTTTTTATATATTTTTAATAATTATGTTCTTATGATACGTTTTTCTGTCTTTATGACACATTTTATTTTGTATTTATGTCACATTTTTCAGGAATTTGGTTTTTGTTTTTCTTTTTTTTTCATGATTAGATTTGACATCGTTACGGCTAATCAAATGGTGCTTATTTGTTATCATGTTGATATTTCGTGCTTTGAACCATCGGAGTAGACTTAGATACGTGATTTACGTTCATGGATAGTTTTCTTATGTCGTTCGACTCTGATTTGTAATTTGTCGGTGGTCTTTTAATATATTGATCTCATTTTGTGATTCGTTTGTCGATGTAGTCAGATATGTTCGTATCTACCTTTTGTTCGAGTTTATTTGATTAGGTTTTCTAACTTTTTCCTAATATAATCTTTAAATGATATTACGTGGTTAGTTTCTTATGCTAATAAATATATGAAAATATCTTTATTAGATTTGTTTTTGTGGTTATGATTATAAACCTTATTGTAATTTAAATATTTTCTTGTTAATATTTGACAGCTCCCATGATTGGTTCATGCATGGCTGCTGGCAGTTTTAATTTCCACTTCTGGGAGTTATGCATGGACGTGCATAATGGTGAGTTATAATGGGTAGTTTTTGGATGGTTTTTAATGGTGGATCGCACCTGTAAATACCCATTAGCTAAGAGGTTTATAAGAATTATTTAGAAGATTTTTGACGGTCCTAGTTTTCATGTAGCACCTGTAAATTTTGATTAAATAAATTAAACTTAATATAATATTCTAATAATCGTATTTTAAAAAATGATAGTAAATTCTATTAATCATACATCCTTAATAGTAAAAGCTTTAAAAAATCGTAACAATTAAATCGCCCATGACCCTCAATTAATTAAACAAAGAAAAGGCCAAGAAGTGGATAGTCCATTAGCATAAAAACTATTTTTATTCAAATTAAGGGCTTCTATAAATCTAATTATGTTTTTGTATGACTATTTGTCATCTGTTGAGCTCAACATAAATGTCTCCAAAGGCCGGTTGTTCCTGAACCATAGAAACCTTGGAAACCTTCCTATATATGTTTTAAGGACATGCAAATGCGTGTGCCCTACAAAAAAGACATAGGAACCCTTGGTGTCAATGGAATCAGTTACTTACCCCAAACAGGGTATTCATTGAACCCATTGTCTCTCGTTGACTTGCATTCTTCACTCTGTTCGACACCTCTTTTAGTTCCCCTCACCTAACCCAAATTCAATGCGTTGCGGACAACAACAAAAATTCTTAAAGAACACACTCTATGTTTCACTCAGTTTTCCAGGTTCAGCTCCGGATAAGGATTAGAATAGATTCAACTCTAATCATTCGTAAGTATCATTTATATTTTATTTATATTTTTTTCATATATAATATTTTCAAAATATAATGAAAAATTCAGTTAAGTTCCAATTTCTCAAGTGGAACTGCATGTAGGATACAGTCTTGGAGTCATTCACCCATTTCGAAGAATTATTTCTTATTGACTGAGAATTATCTAAGTGAATTGTCCATTTTGTAATTTCCGGACCTAAATCGAAACGGCCTCCCTCCCATTACCACTTGATTCCATGATTTCTGAGTGCGATTTCCACATCTGTAGTGCACAACAATTCTAACTTAAAGCAACGAGAATGACCCTACCAAGGGACCTTCTTCTCAATATATATCTTTAAGATTGAAAAGAAAAAGAAAAAGGGCATTTTCTGGTTCTTTTCCGATATGATTCCACACATATAATATGTCAGTATGCGGGGCAATGTTATATACAATATTATATCGTCATCGATGATGTTATCCTCATCAACCAAGCATCTATGGGAACAAAAAGCAACAAAATTAACTTCAAAATCACTCCCAAATTTACAATCAAATCTGTTTCATTCATGGTTTACCCGTTTAGGCCGAGTCTTGTTCGGCAGTACTTTACAAAACCATAAACCTTTTTTTTCTTTTGGTTCAAACCCTAAAACAACCGACATGATGGTGATGGTGAAGGGTTTTCTCCCCATCGATCAAGCCCCGAACATTCCTGAATTCCTCTACATGACAAGGGATGGTGATGGTACCCTTCTGGTCGAACCCGTACTCTTCCTCGGCCTCTTTCAACAGCTGCATGAACAAGGGGTGGTTGAAGTATATAACTGGCACCACGAATCTCTGTTGCTTCTCTTCTGTTGACCCCACTTTGATAGCCAAACACCCTTTCGGCACATCCCTAGATTGCTTCTTCCCCTGATGGTGATGGTGATGATGATGTGGAAGGTGTAAATGAAAGTTCCTCGCTGTACTTTTCTCTCCGCCGCCCATTTTTTCTCCAGCCAGAACACCCAGAGCTGAAAACTGAAAACCCTACAAAAAAGGGGGTTACAAGGAAGAAGAAAAAGAAGAAGGAAAGAGCCAAGGGTTCTTTGCAAGTGAAGTGTAGCCGACAGACTTGAGGGATTTAGTCACGGTTGATAATCTTCCATATCAACATGCAAACTCATAACACGCTGAATATAGAATGTGTATTATGGAGGAGGAGAGTGTGTTAATAACGGAGGAAAAACGGAGATGGGTTTTATATGCTACGGACAGGTCTAGGAGTTTCTTTGTTTTTTGTGTGGAAAGTCTGATTCCTAGACGTTCGATTTTTTAAGCGAATCTGATGATGATTAAAAGGGGAAACGGTCAAATTTGTAACTAATGGGGGAATCGAAAGGGTAAGACACGTGGATGGAGGGTGAAGGGATGTGGATTTTTATTAAAATTTATAAACAAGATTGCCGACAGACGACAAGAACGGTGCCGTTTTAAAGTATTAGACGGGTTTGACCTTATGCAAATCGACGTTTTTAAGCTGATTTTTTTAATTCTCTAACATTTAATTAATGAATAATAATAAGGGGGGAAAAAGAAGTCGGCGAAGGCAATGGCTAGGTCTCGAGCGTGTCCAAATAGGCGTGGAAGAGGTGGTAAGCTGACGTCAGTTTTGTGATTAATTAAAGAGCAACTTCACTTGTTTATATTCGAATGATAACATTGATTATTAAGATTTTAAAAAATAGTAAATTTTTTATAAAAATATCATTAAATTTTATTAACAAATAATTATAAAATTTATAAACTATTTAGTAAATTCATAATTAATCATTTAATTGTACACTTTAAACTAATGGTAATATTTTATTCATATCGTCAAATTTATAATATTAAAGGGGCAAAAAGAAGAATATGATCTTGTCTTTTTCCATGAACCGTTGGCCGCTTGGGGAATACAAAAGTTAGAGGACAATGGTGTCCCTGAGAGTACGTACCTTGCCGTAACCGCGAACCAAGGGACTAGCGAGAATAAAGAAACATGGAAATTTAAACTTTTTACCAACTTTATCAAGTGGTATTATCCACCATGGCTCTTTAATTACCCAAAACAATATGCTTTTATACTAATTATATATGTTAACTGATTCCATCTGTTGATTCGTCGGATCTATATATGTATTTTGAGGGCATACAATGCCTTATATATGATTTTAAAAAATTGTTAATTTTGACATTTTAACTGTTTTTTTATATAAACACAATCATAATTATATTATGCTATCCAAATAGCTATAACGGTGAAATGAGTGTGCAGATACGCAGCTGCAGCGCATTTGGCACAGTGTAACACACTAGCAAAGGTCCACTCCACTAACAATGATGCATTTTCTTATTTTAGAACTCATATCATTCATGGCCAAATGCCAATGCGAATGCCATCCAATTGATGATAAAACTTTAGAGTTTTAGACCAAACAACTTATTTATGGTCTTGGGCAGTGCCCCTCAATCATCTCTACTCGCACTACTACTTTGACTAATGCCTACCATTTCTTGCATTTTTATTCTTGAGGTAAGAATAAAGGTCAAATCCCTGAATTATTCAAAGAGTTTAAACCTACACAGTGCTTTCTGCCCAACTTGAATCTTCAAACAGTCCCCAATCCAACATTTCAAAGACAACCGTTCAGTTTTGATATTTAAAGCTCTCAAAGGTGCACTTACATTACACTAAACAAATGGTGAATGAAAATAGGGTTTGAATTGTTTAAACAAGTTATCGCCGGTAATACCTGTAAGTTGAGTGGTTAGAAGAATTAAGTTTAGGAATTTTTTAATGATATCACTGAAATTGTTTAACGATGATATACAAATATTACAAACTTCTCATTTTGTTAGAATATAATTTACTCCATTTATAAATAAAAAAAGTCAAGTGTCCTTTCAAACTAAAATACTAATTGCATTTAATTATATTATTTTCACTAAAAAATAAAGTATTCACAATAAACCATATAAGTGGGGGCATGGAAACACCATCCAAAATGGGAGGGAAGAGTGGCTTTTTGAATAAAGCAAAAGTTAATTGTTTAAAGGTGTTAAAGGCCTACCTATTGTTCCCCTCTCGATTTAAATGTTGGGCTATAAATTTCACTTAACTTTATTCTCACTCTTATTTTAATTATTAAAGTTTATTTTTATTTACTCACTAAACTTTTTATTCACTCCTATTTTGGTCACCATGTCATTAAATACTTAATGGTGTTATGAATGTATATTTTTCTTTTAAAAATTATGAAATGTCCTAAAACTTTCTTTATTTTTTTGTTTGAAAAAACTCCTAGTTTTGAATTCTGTTTTATTTCTCAATGATGAGGCATATTCTTCCAAATCCCAACGGTGGGGATGCGAGGATGAGGAAGCATGTTATATATCTTGATTTTACATTGATAAGGGTAGATACTATAGACTAGAATGGTTTATGTTTCATAAGTTTTGAGTTTAGGGTTGGATTTCATAAGTTTTAAGTGATTTAGGTAAAATCTAAATTAATAGAGTGTAGAAACGATGAGAAGAGTTCGTCTATATCTTGAGTGGTTGAAGAAATAATAGATAATTGTAATTACAACGTTGACGTGAAACATAGATGAAAGTATTAAATTTTCATCTTTAGAGGAAGAAAAGAAAAGGAAAAAAATTAGAAAACAACTTAGATGCCATATGTCACGTCAATAAAAATAAGTCTACATCAACACACTTGGTTGCCATATCACTTTTCTTTTTTGATTTAATGCTCGAGTGATGAAAATAAGACAAATTGAAGGTTTAGTGAGTAAAATAAAATTTTTTAAATTTTAATGACCAAAATAAGTGCAAGAAAAAAGTTGAGTGATGAAATTTTAATTTACCCTAAATGTTAAATGATCAATTGACTTAATTATTCGACACAAAACCTATCTAAATACGTACATGTGGAGGTTCCATGTAGTGGAATTATAGGGTGATGTTTGAAAAATATCGCTGGTCAAATTGCATCCATCCCTTTTATTCGTACACCACAACTTTTTCCCTTTAGTTTTTGTTGATTATGATTTGATTTGAGAATTTGTCCACTCCTACTACCCTTACGTGTAGATAATGGGTGAATAGAGAGCCGCTGAATATTAGCACTTATGGGGACTGAATAATCTATCAAAACTAGTTTGCAAAATTCATTGGAACGCTTTTTATCAATACCATACAATGCCAAAGATTTGATTCCTCTTGAGTATAGGATTGAGTTTATACACTACGTTTGGGTCTGAGCACCTGCCTAAGACTGATTGGCTGGGCCGAACGCCTTGGTTTCACCGAGGAAGGCTTGGGGTATAAAAGCTATTCGGGTGGCAAAAAGGGCGACCCCAATGTATATCAACTTTAGCCCAATATTATCAGGTATTGGATTTTGAACATCGGTATGCAATGGACTTTCCTTTGTCGCTCTTGGTGTATAGTTACTTTACGATTCTACGGAATCTAGAATCAAATCGGATCAAATCATTAAATAAAGGATAAAGTTTCTTTAGTTTTCATTCGAGATATTTCATCATAGCTGTGATGGAATTAGAATCAAATATTGAAGGAGGCAAAACTATTTTTATATCGAAAAAATAAGAATCTATTACATATTTAAATTTAAAAATTAAAAAGTACATAGGCTTTATTTGACTAATACTTAAATTAAAAAGACCTAGAATGCTATTATACAAAAAAAATTAAGTAGACTCCATTGCTTAAGCCTGCCCTTTAACCTCTTAAGCTTTAAGATGACTTTAGCGATACGATTACTGGCTGGAGTTGGTGAGCTCTTGAAAATTCTAGAGATGGAGAACTCGTATGGCTTGCGCCCGCAGGCCTTGCAGCAGAAAATCTCTTATGATTCATTGAGATACTTGTTCTCATAGTACCAAGACGATGACGGTAGCTTCGCGGAAAAGATGGGCCGACGACCTAGACGAGCAGTTGGTCGATGTGTCCCTGATCACAAGACCTTATTTTAGAGGCTTGAACAACACAATAGTCGATACGATAGGTTTTGGTTAATAAAAACAAATTTTATCCTTAATTAAACCTCTACTATGCATAATCACTCGATACGATAGGTATTAGGGTTGAGTCATTTTAATCTTCTAGTTTACTCCTCATAAGAATACAGATTGGGAATGGATACGGCTGTGCCTGTCAACATGGGTTCTAAGTCATGGGCCCCTGCTGCAACTGATGGGTACTTAAAAGCATTGAAAAAGTTAGCTAAGATTGTTCAAAATGTCTTAACCACATTAGAAAACTTTTCCATCTACATATTGGCAATGGCAACCCAACATGGATCCTTCTCATGTGCCTTTTAAGCTAATGGGAAGTAGCTAGCAGCAATGTTGCAAAATTTTGAAGAGATGAAACGAAGCGAAACCATTCATAGGATCCCTGGATATGCTTGTAGTTGAAGTCCAGACATTAATGTCTGGAATGCAAGCATACAGAGGGAGCTTGTACTAGACATCTGTTTCTAAACCAGGAATTAACGAGCTTTCACCGTTTAAAGCATTAAACTCCATGGACAACCTTTCGGCTGAGCATGTAAACAGTAATGACATTGTTGGTCAATGTAGGGGTGTTGAGAAGACAAACATGGTGGAGAGAGATTGTTAGTTGATAAATACGGGTATTACAACTAGTAAATACCGGTGGATATTACTTGGGTAAAAAAAACAGATGTTTTACTGCACAAAGCTCTTCAAAACCTGTTGTCTGAGAAAGAGAACTGTTAGAGTTTTAGACTTACTCCTTTGCTCGTTAAGCTTTCAAAGAACTTCTTTGGGTAGAAGTCTTCCGGCCAGCTACAATGCAGAGACAAAAAAAATTTAGGTAAGACCTCCGACAGATTTACATGTTATACGTAGATCTAAGGTCCGACTATTAGAGCTACCTAATCTACTGACCTACACGCAATCATAATGATCTTATGTTTGATTTACGCACTAAGAATCACTATAAATACCTTTAAACACGACTGAAGAACGAGTTGACACTTATTACAAGATCACCACTCCTTTATAACCATCCCTCTTATTCATCAAGTACTGGCCCACAGTCTTTCTCTCACCGGCCACAGCTCTC